CAGTGCCAGCACTGAAACATCCTCGGCAAAGTTCGACCTGGGCACCAGCCTGGATGATTGCATGTAAAAGCAGAAGAAACAGAGCTCTCTTACTCTCAGAGACACTAGGAAACATTAGCTAATTTCTCTCCCAGCAACACCCCTGTGAAAATGTGCCCTACAATTCCCATTGCACAGATTTAGCCCAGAACAGCAAAGCAAGCAAAATTGGTGACAAACTCAGGATTGGAACCCAGTAAATCCTCTACACCAAGCCAACACTTCATCACTCAACTGTGTTATTAACCCTAAACGAATTCAATTAGTCAGGAGCAGTCCATAAAAAACTCCTTTTGCAAAGACTTTCTAATGCACTATGAAGATCACATATATAATACAGTTAACAAACGTAGGTATCTCCTAGATAGTCGTGAAGTAAGAAACTAGGGAAAGGAATAATACTGAGATCTTAAGTAATTATTTCCTTTTCTATAGAGAAAAATAAGTGCACATGAAGCAGCATGAGGGCCTATTCACACAATTCAAGAAATTTAATGCAAAGAGCTACAGAAATGAAAATACATCTACAGATTCTTTTTCCTTCAGATTTCTATTGTAAACCCATTTCATGCGAAATGCCAGCAATTATTTAATACACCCTGAGACCAGTATCTTCCCTTAAATTTATCTCCTACACTTAGCCCAACAATTCCCACACTTAACTTGCTCTGTATAACAATGAAGCACATTTGGAAAAGGGGGGGATTTGTTAACACAGAAGCAAATCTCTGCAGCAGTGAACAGCCAGCACTGTAAGTCTATCCAGCAACACAAGATAGTCTTTCATTCACATTCCAGCTTAAGCACAGCCAAGCACATCACATTTGGGACGCTCAAGTCATACTTAATTTTGTTCAACACCTTCTTTTGACAACAGCTTTGTCACCAAGACTCAAAATACGTATGTCAAAAAAGACAGTCATTTGCCAGGACTGTCACTGATTCTCTCAAGATAAAAATAATAAAGCTGTAAGTGCAAGGAGCAGGGGCTGCCTAATTGTCAGCTGTATAAAGTAGAAATATCAAGATTATTGTCCTGAGGGCAACAAGAGTTTAACAGGAATAGAAGATGATGCTACAACCCGTTTTGAAATCTTGAACTCCACAGGAGTCAAAATTTAAGGAAAGCAAATGAAAACTCAGTGCGTGCTACAAAAAACTACTGCTAATTTGGCACCAAACCAGTAGAGCAAAGAAACCTGCCTAAGAGAGACTTGCACCCTATTTAACAGCAAGAAACAGGATGACAGATCAACCCAACAAAAACATCATGGAGGGCATGGGAAAAACATTTACTCCAGAACTCACACATCTAGGTATAAAGAAAACAGCAGAAGTGTGCTACTCTAAATGTGGAATTTACCACTTGAAATCTGACAACTACTATTTCAGTGACAATGGTATTCCAAACCTCATTTTTCTGGGCAATAAATTATTATGATCAAGCCAAAGTAGGAAGAGCAGTTCTTCACACACAAGGGACTCCCAACACAGAGTATGCTGGTACTTCCTTGGGCTTAACAGACAGACCAAGGTGAAAGCAACCTCACCGATCCCGTCAAACGAGGCACCTCCAAGACAAGCATGCACAAGGTATTCACATCCACATCCAGCATCAGGGAGCCACTATTAACATCTACTGCTTGAATTACGGCTGCAGGCTAGTCTTGGAGAAATTGATAGTGACAGCAAATCTGAGATTTTTTTTTTCCTATTTAAATAACAAGGTGGGAAGCTTAGATTTTCCCCCCTTCCTTCTGGGAAGCAAGAGGAAAGATCTAGTTTCTCCCGTTTTAAAACCATCCTGACACACACCTTCCCAAGTCTGCTTCACATGCAGCAGCATGGCTACTGGCACAGCTTGGCCTGTTTTCCAACCAGCTGTCAGACAGTTAAGTCTTGGTCAGTTTTGAAAAAGAGAAGAAAAAAAAAAAGGTAAGATAAAAAATGCAGCATCACCTTAATAACTGAGTAGATGTAATCAGGCAGTGGAACTATTTCGCAGGACACTTCCTTCTGTCTCTAATACATTAAAAGCAGAAAAGACAGCCAAAAGAGAGTATATTCTCCGGATAAAAAATAGGAAGCACTGTAACAGTAGCACAACCCTACATTCTCTTAACAGCCAGGTAGACATTAGAGAAAAAAAAGTTTCTTTTATTCTCTGACCAAACACACGCAAAGATGGTCCAAGGAGCAGCTTAAAATCTGACACCTGCCTGTGACAAACTAACACAGAAGTCTGAGACTCAGACAAATGCTCAGGACTGAGCAGTAATGCCCACACAGCAGTCAGGGCACCTTCTGACAAGTGAAGGTGATGCCAAGGTTTGGGAAAAGGTGCATTATGCTAACATGTTACCTACGGGCTTCACTGGTGAAGACACATTTCTATCCCCAGCACATTCCAGTAAAATTTTAAGCTGCAACACAGGCAGCTCTTGTGTTTGAGAGAAACACATCTATACTTTGGCATGTAAATATCTGAATTCAGCATTACAAACCGCAGCTCACCCATAAGACTGCACAAGGCCACTGTCCAGTACGCCATTCTATAAAAATTACTAAAACGCCAGTGACAAAGAAATTTTGCTTGCAAGATGCAATGTACATTTTTATCATGCTGGATAAAATATCTACAGTCTCAGCAGTGGTTAAATTGCTGCTATAAAGGAAATTGTCCTCAGATAAATGGTTTCCCTATGAGAAGGTTTCAGTGCTACACCTCACCCCAGGTCAATAAATCAAATTAACTGCACCTTGTCCTCTGGCCAATGACATCATCGGCTTGACCACATCTTGTGAAGCGAGTGCAAAAACATATGCTATTTAAGGCATGAAATCATATTACTGCTTTTTGTCCAGCCAGCCTTGTGCTGTTGGTCTGTGAAACAGTCAGTCACCTGAACAGTCTCATTACAGCTTCTACAGCTTTTTTTTTTCCTCTTGTATTCAAGGCCTGTCTTTGCCGAGGGTGAAGAAAAAAGGATAAATAATCTGAGTCGTTATTTTTTAAATCAAAATGCTTTTCATTAGCTGCAGTGCAGTATTTTGTGACAAATTAAATTTAGAACCAAAGTACGAAATACGCCATCTGCACTTGCACGTGAACACTCTTCCTAGTAGTGTTTCAAAGATGTTTACATGCTAATCTGGCACTGCTACTCTGAAGTACCCTGCTGTTTGGTCCTTTTTCTCCACAGGGTGAAAACAATGGTCACTAATGAAAACCTACACAGTTTTATTCGAAACCCATCCCTGCATAAATATTTTCTATTTTAAATTACTGCCACCCTCTAATCAAGTAGCCCATTTGTTTTATTTCTAAGTAGACTAATATCTGGTTTAAAACTGAATTATTCTAGACAATTTAAGAGGATTAATTTCAATTTTCACTTGGCGTTCTTATGACACAATCACAGAGAACTTATCTTCCTTTCTAGACCCTGTACTGCCTAGTGGTATCTTCTGTCTTGAAAGCAAAATCTAAATGAAAGAGAGGGAAAAAAAAAAAAAACCTCAACCCAGAACAGTCAAAGATACAAGCAGTGACAAAAGCATCTGACACAGTGCACTGTTAGACCTCATCCACATTAAGCAAAAAGAAGGTGAATAAGATTATCTTCAATGTATTCAATTCTGTTTGTGTTCAGAGGGAGAAGGAAAGCTGTTTAGATTTTGAGTGTGTCTTCTATAGCCCTCTCAGTGCCAGGAAACGTAAATTAGAAGCAACTCTCCTTTAAGGAAAAGAATCAAGGACAAAGGGACCAAAAATGCCCAAGCCTCTGAAAAGCATATATGAAAGGAACAGCTTTACAGTCTTGAGTTGCTATAAATTAAAAATAAGCTCCTTATTTAAAAGACATGAGTGTTTGAGAATCTATGAGCAGATCTGATGCTGCTCAAGCCCCAGGAGGGTTTTGTTTTTGCTGGCAGGGGTGGAGTGGAGATGGGGGGGTCATTTTGGTTATTAGTAAATAAATCAAGCAGCAGAGTGAGGCCTAGGCGCTTGCCAGAGGAGCCGGGGCCTGGCTCTCCCCCTCCTCTCCTCACACAGCCTGGGTTTGATCTCGGGGCCCTGTGGGTTTGCCAAGAAAATTTAAAAAAAAAAAGCCAGAGAGCGAGAAAGAAGAATCATATTGAACCACAAAAGCACATGGGGCGAATGTAAAATATAAACACGGCGTTGGGCTCTGAGTGGCTGTTATTAAAGGTCTGAATTACTAAACATGAGAGGCGGGGAAAGCCGGGCGGCCATTTCAATAATATAAACCTCCCCGAATTAGACATTATTCAAATGAGAAGGAGAGAGAGGGAAGAGAGGGAGAGCGCGGGGGAGAGGGACAGGACCGGCACGGCCGTGCCCTGGGGCAAAGGGGGAGCGGGGCAAACACCGCCGGGGCAGATCCGGCCCTCGGGGCGAGCGGACCCGGCCCTCGGGGGTGGGGGGCAAGCCCAGCCCTCGGGGGGTGCCGGAGAAAGGCTCGGGGGGGTTCTGCCCGTGCACCCCGCAGTCACCCCCCGCCGAACCCGCCCCTTGCGAGGGGAGGGGGGGAGCTTTAAATGAAAAAGCCGAACCACGCTCTGCTCCTGCCCCCCTCCCCGCACCCACCCACCCCACGCTGCAAGGCCCAGGCTCTGGGGAAATAAACCCCGGCTTGGGGGGGTGGGGGGAGGGTGTGCTGCGGGGAAGGGGGGCAACGAGGGGAGTGTTAAGGAAACCGAGTCTATCTGCCTCCCCAGGCCCCAGCCCCCCCCCCCCCCACTCCATGAATATGTAAAGCGGGTTTATTGTGGGCGTGCGGGCCGGGTGGCGGCCAAGCCACCCCCGAACGCTTTTGGGTGTGGGGCTGCCTCCCCCCTCCCTCCCGGCGTGTGTGTCCCCCCGGGCGGGCGGGGGGGGGGGGGCGCCCCGCGCGCGCGAGTATGAATATGAATATGTAAAACGCAGTAATGATTACCTGCCGCCGCCGCCACCGCCGCCGCCGAACTCTCATCTTGACTCGCTGCTCCTCCGTCCGCCATTTTGAATATTTTAACCAAAAATCGGCCGCGCGATAAACCCTCCCCCCTCCCCTTCCCCTCCCTCTCTCCTCCCTCCCTACCCGCGTCGCCGCCGCCGCTCCGCGCATGCGCCTCGGGCTCTGCGCTCCCCCCTCCCCTCCCTTCTCCTCGGCCGCTTTCCCGGCGAGGGCGCGGAGCGGCGCCGCGCATGCGCAGCGCGGCCGGACCGTCGCGCTCCCCCCCCTCAGGCCGCCGGCGGGCGATGGGGGGAGGCGCGTGCGCACTGAGGCGCCCCCCGCGCGCCCCCTCAGGGCACGGGGCGGTCCGACCCCCCCAAAAAAAAAGGTCCTCCCGGTGGTCATTAGTTTTTTTTTATGGTTGTAAAATCTAGGTAATTTACAGGGGGCCAATTGAACGTTTTGGGGGAAAAATGCGGTGGGAGGGAGAGAATGGACATGTTGGGATAAAAACAAGCTTATCTGTAGTGGGCAGGAAGGAAAGGTTTTGGGGATAAAACTCGAGGGGAGAGAATGAACATTTTGAGGTAAAATTGAGGTAGCCAGGAGTGGACAGGAAGAGGAAATTTGGTGGGTAAAATGTGAGTTAATCTGTAGGGGAAGGAAGTGAAATATTGAGGTAAAACCAAAGCTGTTTGTCAGTAGTGGATGGGAAGGGAAAATTGTGGGGCTAAAACTTGAGATGATCTCTAGTGGAGTAAATGGACATATTGAGGTGAAAATGAGGTAATCACTAGTGACAGGGAAAAATCTGAGGGGAAAACTTGAGGTCATCTGTAAGGAAGAAGAAGTATTTTGCAGGAAAAATCTGATTGAATCTTTAGGGCCAGAATGAACAGTTTGGGGGTAAGGTAAATGTAGCCATTGGGTTTTCCTGCTGGGTCATCTAGGTAATTATCAGGGACAAAATTCATATTTTGGAGGTAAAATCTGAGGTAATCTATAGAGGAGAGAAGGAAGATTTTGAGGTAAACTGAGGTAATCAGTAGTGGACAGGTAGGGGATTTTTGGGGGGTAAAGCTTGGGATAATCCATGGGGGACAGGTGCCTGTCAGGAGCCTCCCGGTGAACGGCCGCTGTGTCTGAGAGTGGTGGTGTGGAAATAAATACCCGTCTGGGCTGCACCTGCACCCAGGTACCGCCCGAGCCAGGGCAGGACTGAGGAATAAAGAGGAATTGCATCCAGGGAAAATGGAATCGCAGAACCTGTGGTTCCCGTGGAGGAGGGCGCCTGAGCGAGGGTCTGGTTTTCCTCCAGAAAAGGGCGATCGCACAGTAGCGATTCTCCTCTGTTCAAAAAACCCCACCCCAACATTCCCTCGTTCTGGGCAGCCCAATGCTCCTGGGGTGCTTTTCTCAAATACTTTATCCTCTTACACTTCCCGCATCAAATTGTCCTGGAAGGGGAGTCAGGTTTCATGCCTCCCTCGTTAAAGGGGAGTAAATATGAGACCAGAGGGACCAACAAATAAAATTAACTTTAGATTCAAAGCTTCCAAATTAGGACAAACAATTAGCCAGGGCGGCAAAACTTTGTTAATTCCTGACAGATTTGGCAGAGTAAAAATAAAACTTACTCACATTTTAATATTACGTAAATACACGTTATCCCTGAGCTTTGTAATGTACTTCCAGAAAAAGAAGAAAGGGAGGCTGGTGTAGAATGGCATTCATTAAGGACTCGGTCTTAACGTTTTCCAAGAGTCATTAACTCAGATGGGTCAGAGTCCAAGCCGGATTTTCTTCTGGGGTGCAAAACATCGTGGAGTAAGAGGAACTGTCGGGGATCTGTTCTTGCATGCTGTTGCTGAAGAAATTAGGAGTCGTATCAGAAACAGCCACTAGATTTTTTTTTTTTCCATTGGTAGGAGAGAGCCAAAAAGGGAAGGCTGAATGAGGGAGACAGCAGGGTGTATCTCCAAGGGGGGAATCAGAAAGGTAATTTTGTCATTTTTATTTAAAAATAAGGTCCTCTGGTAATGGGATTTTTTTTTCTTGCCATCCTATAAAATAACCTCTTGTTATTGCAGAAAACACTAGCAGAAATGGACTGCACTGTGAAAGAGCAAAAGCCTTCCCCTAACACCAGTCCTACTCATGCACATTCATTTGCTGACACCCTAAACCAGCAATTAAGCACTTTGTCTCCTGAAGATCTGTGTTGCACTCACAGGAGCGAACATGTAAACAAAGGCATATTGTCGTGCTCCTCTTCAGTTCAGCCATGATCCTCGCGGGCCAGTTAATCCAGTTTTATGGCCAGGTTATACCAGCACTGCAGCACGCGGGGGCTGCACCAGGACAGATAAACGTGTGGAGAAAGGGCTGCCTAGATTAAGACTCTGCACAGCTCTAATCCTGCCTACGCTGAATATTCTCTCCCCTATCTCCCTATCTCACCCAAAGACTCTTCTCAGTCCGGCATGCCACTTCCCAGTAACCTCTTCCCTGATCCCAGCAGCTTCTTGCTGGGGAGAATTTGCTCCCATTACCACACCTGATTTAGCCTTTGCTCTCGCTCAGCTTCTGCACACTTAGCTGGAACCCACAGCTACCGCAGAAAAGATGTCTGAAAACAAGTAGTTGCTAGTGGTTTGGTGTTTTTATTTTTGGTGGGGGTTTTTTGTTTGTTTGTTTCTTGGGTTTTTTTTTTTTTTGGTCATTTTCTGGGAGTTATTAATCTGCTCTGTGTTTTCTAATTGACCACCTATAAAGAGAACTTAATTCACTCAAGCCACATAGGTGCTTTCCTTCTCCCTGTAAAGATTAGTCTGGATCTATGTCTGCATCCTCTCCTCTAGTTTTCTTTGAATGCATCTCTATCTGATGCCTTCCCCAAGGTGTCATACATCCCTGTGGCTATATATCCAGGAAAGCTGGCCAAATCATTAGTGATGAATAATTTATCAGATAAATTTTACCTCTCTTTCAATTGTGAGTGCCACATAGTGCCTGATTGGTGTCTTACTCATGAGCAACTTGCTGGAAACACTTGAAATTTGAGATAATTGGACACAAACATGATACAAGGCTTAGTCCTACGAGGAGCTGAGCACCCTGGATTCATTTCACAAAAAGACATAAGAAAGTTGGTTGTTCAGCTGCAGTCAGTGAGACTGGGCTCTCACTGGCGGTGAAGTACGTGCTGAAACAGAGCCCAAAGCAGTGAGCAGCGAGCAGGACCCTGTGAGTCTGTTCTCTGGCTGGACTTGTCAGCCACACAGAATTGCCTCTCACAGGGATTTTGCCTTAAAAAGATTTTCTGGTTGTGAAAACAATACAGTGTTCAAAATCAACACCACATGTAAAGGGAAGAAATGATATCTGAGGATCTTTTAAAGCTCTGCAGCGTATCTGCGTCCATTGTTTTGATGTTGAACCAGATACCTCTTAATTCCTAACCCTAATTGGCCTGCTTGACTTGTGCCCATAACCCCAAATTTTCTTTGATTGCTATGTGACCTTCCGAATTTTCTATCTCCTGCTAGAATTAATTCAGTAGTGTTTCACAGACAATTTTTTTTTTTTTTTAAGGTAGGGAGGCAGAGGACAAAAGAAACATGAGGCAGGAAGGCAGGGAGCAAAAGAAACGCAAATCACAGTATTTAAGCAAAAAGCACATTGGGAAGGAAATTATCCTTTTCATGAAACAGCTCTAGTGTACAGGGAAATTAAGAGCAAACTTATCTGCTCTGCTCCAATTCCACCGTGCCACTCAGATGTGAATCCCAGATGCTGCTTTTCTCACACAATGTCCCCCTTCTCTCTGTCCTGTTTTCTTCACATGAGATTTCTCTCCTACAGAAGGGCCCATTACTAGAATCACGTTTACTTCTGCTTTCCCTTTGGTCATCCAGATAATTAGAGGCTTCTGCTTCAAAACAGTCATTCTTTGCCCCTTGTGTTTTCAGACATAGGTCCTCAGAAACCTCTGTATTCCTTTCACTTGGTGACTGCACAGATTGTCTCACATTTAATTAAACTTATCTGTGTGCTTCTGTCTGTTTCCTATTTCTCATCGTCATACACAACCTGACAGAGGAACCGGCAGCCTCCCTGCTACAGTGTTATTTTTTGAACATGCTATCGATAGCAAAAGACACTGCGTCTCAAAAAGCTTGCAATTTAGAGAGCTGGCAGGGAAAAAAAAACGAGGAAAAAAATAGGATTAGTACCTTCTTGATTGAGGAGAAGTGAAGAAAAGCAACGTAAAGACTGTGCATAGTCCCTCCAGTGTCACAGCCGACATTAGTGGGACACAGACTCACACCTAGGTGCTCGGAGGCTGTGCAGTTCAGTACTTTAACCACAAAGCTGTTTTTCCTTTCTCTCCTGTGTTGCTCCCCGCCCTCCTCCTGTTCCCAAGCATGGAAAAGAGTCCACCCTTATCCCCAAGGCTTGGGACCCACCAGTAATGTGTCTTTACATTATTATACTTTTCCCCCCTCTTCAGATCTCCTTCCTACGCACCTTGTGAGTGCTGAGCACGAACAGCAGAAGAGAAATGGAGACTGTCCACGGCATATATTGGCTGGGTTTTTTCCCCTTGCACACTCCTCCTGCCGCCTTTGACCAGATTGCTTTCTGCCTTCCGTTCTGACCCTATTCTGTTGTCTCTGGACTGGAGAAAGGATGACCCTGAATCTCTTATTTCTCAGAGTTGTCGCCATTCCTCTGACTCTTAAAGATAATAAAATTATAGCAGGAAAGTTGTACCATCTCATAATACTCTGCCCCTCCCAAGTGCAGCTAACTGCTTTTTTGGAGATAAGGAGCAGGGACAAAAAGAAGCATGTTTTTCATTTTCATATTTGAAAAAAAGCCCTGTAATTCAGAACCTTCACACATCCTCAGGAAAGGGAGAGGTAATTACTAAAAGGACACTTATCTTTTCAGGTGGCTTTTTCAATCTATTTCTCACTCTCTGCTGCTTTGCCTGCACTTACTTTAGCTCTACCTCAGTTTTTTGTATGCATTTCAATAGTTGTCATCAATGCAGCTTCTGAACCTTCCAATTTTTACCAGTTACATCTTACAAATCACCAGCTTTA